TCCATCTAGGAAGGGGAAGGTCTCCCATGAGTATCAACAAAACATGGACATATCAAGTTGCAGTAAGACTAAGCACCTCCCCAAGTATTGAGGCTGGGCAAGGTGACCCAGTATGAGTAGTAGGCTCCCAAAAGCCTGTAAAAAAGTCAGAGACAGCCCCTGCTCCCACTGTTAGGAATCCCACAAGAGGACCAAGCTACACAACTGTAACATATATGCAGAGTGCCTAGGTCAGTCCTGGGCAGACCTCTTGGTTGTTAGTTTAGTCTCTATGAGCTCCTATGAGCTTAGGTTAGTTAATTGTATGAGCCTTCCTGTGGTGTCCTTGACACCTCTGGCTCCTTACACTCTTTCCCTCAACTCAAGCTCTAGACGCCCTGCCACTCCCTCTGGACCTTTGGGAGACTGCATGACAGCTCATCTTTTGTCTTTGTTTAGCCTAGCTTTGCTCCTCTTTGTTCCACAGGCGTTAATGCCAAGGCCTCTGTCCACAAATACTTGGATGCAACTCTATCTGGGGCCTTTTCCTGGAGTATCCACTGGATTAGAGGAAATGAAGATTGCACTGAGGAAAATTTTCTTGCCTTACTCTTTAGTTTAACACAACTTAGGAAGATAAAAAATATATTCTATAAAGCTTCTTTTGTCTGGTGGTGATGGCACACACCTTTAATCCCAGCACTGGGGAGGCAGAGGCAGGTGGATCTGAGTTTGAGGCTAGCCTGGTCTACAGAGTTAGTTCCAGCACAGCCAAAGCTACACAGAGAAATCCTGTCTCAACAAAACAAAACAAAAAGCTCCTTTTAATTATTGCTGTTAAGAGTGTAAAATGGTAGAACCATTGGTTTACATGGCAATCACCCCAAATCAGTATATCCTTCGATGTAGCAGTCCCTTTAATAATGACTCTCTCTCTGAGATGGGGTCTGATGAAACTGCCTTGAACTCATTGTATAATACTAGGGATTGAACCCAATTGAACTCTATCAACTGAGTCCCAACACTCAATCCCTGGTTAGGAGTAATCTTAAAGGAAATATAAAAGCTGGAAATCATTAAAACTGAGTGCTACAGAATTCAGGGGCAGGAATTCATTTGGTGGGACATTTGGGTCTTGGGTGGAAAAGGCTAGGACCAGTAGAGGGAAGCCCCTGAGAAATGGCCACTGCCTGGAGCTCCCCCTAAGGGATGTGGTGTGGTTCCTACCTGGTTGATGATTCCGCCGAGTTCCCCCTCCAGCATCTTCACTTGGCACTCCAGCAACTCGATGTTGCTCAGGGAGGTCTGGTACTTGTCCCTGTAGAGGTTTAGGCTCCTTTCTAGGGAGACAATTTTGTCCCCTGCCAAGGCAAGCTGCTCTTGAGCCAGATGGAGCTTCTCCCCTGTGTGCTTATTATGCTTCCCCATTTCCTCCTCGAAGAGAATGACCTGTTAGTGTGGGAGAGGAACCACACTGAACCTATGCAAGCAGCCCACCAGGAAGGGGAGGATTTGACTGTGAGAGTCCACAGTGAGTGCATCTAAACTAGAAGCCCTTAAGAACAGCGTAAGTACAACACAGGTGTAAGGGTCCCAGCATTTACTATCAGGCTGTTAGTGACTGAAGAACTGGATGTCCTTAGTGCTAAGCTCTTACAGGCAGGGACTGTATCTTCTCCCATTCTCTCTGACGTTTGGTAGGGACTGAACAAACACCTGCTGCTTAATAGGGATGAGTTTCTGCCATTCCCTTTGCTGAAAGGACCTGAATGCCCATGTCCTTTCTTCCCTGGGCACTCTCTAGAGATCTAATTTGGAAAGTGTCGAGTGCCACATGCACACAGTTTCATGCCAGCAAGATCCCAAGAGGTAGTGAGGGGCCATGACCCAAAGTTCCTCTGAGATCTGCATGATGCTTATGTAAATGACTTTTCGAATCTGTCACCCACTGACGGGTGTCTCTAGGATGCTCACAAGCATCACACTGGATGAGGGCAAGCTACACATATAGGAGACACAGCCTTACTTCTCTCATAATCTCGAGGAGGCAAGAGTGTACTAAATTGCATGTCGAGTTATCTGTGTTCAAGGAGCCTAGAGGAAGTCACTATAGAAGGCTTCACGTTGTTTCAAACTGTCCAGTTCTTGACAGAAACCAGCCTATTAATTAAGCTGGTTAAACTACCTGCCTCATCCGAGATTCCCTTTAGGAAAGGATTACTTAGTTTAAGTTGTCTGTAAGGGAAAGAGAGGCATTTGATATTCACGTATCGTAGCAGGAAGGGTTGTTTCCACTCACATTCCTGTAGCTCTCACTAGTTTCAAACATGTATATGTGTGTGCATGCACATGCACACGTGTCTGTATGTAGTGTGTGTATAGGGCCAGCTCTGTTGGTATCCATGTAAATTGGTTTGAGGACCTGTGCAGACAGCGAATTCTAAGCATTCACTATTTCTTTGCACACAGCTCATTCCAACTGTAAGCTCTTTTGGCTGCTTGCTCTCTCAACCAGAGGGGAAAGATAGGGAAGACATGTTGGCTAGTGAATACCCCCAGGGGTGAATACCAGTGGTGTGGGTTGGGGTCCACTTTGAGGACTGTTCCACAGTATCTTCCAGAGCTCCCCAGGTGTTGAACCCCAGTTGTCTAGAGCAAGAAACCCATTCCATTTGACCAAACCTCCCCATGCTTCTTGGAATCACTGCCTGGATTAAGTACATGCCAGTGCTCATATGTGCATCTCAGTTGGCAGAACACAGCTTTAGACAAGGGTAAAGACATCAAGAGAGGTGGGCAGGGTGTTTAGAATAAATTTTTTTTTCTCAGACTGAGGTCTGTGACTGCTGCTTGGCAAATCTTGGACCTATCCCCCTCTTTCTTAATAGTTAAAAGTTAATTTGATTTTGACGGGGGGGGGGGCAGCA